TAATTATAAATAAAAAATTAAATTATATATAAATTTTTAAAAAATTCTAAAAAAAAAAATCGTAAAAAAAATCCTAAAATTATCCTCAATAAGTTACTCCAAAAAAATATTCTCATCCGTGTGTTATATATATAGAAATTAATTGTAATTGAATAAATTGATCGTCTGCAATCAACATATGAGCACATGATTATGCCCTTTGATTATCCAAGATGAAAGATTTTCGTAGATAACCAAAAATGTAATTCTAAATTCATAAGAAGAAAAAAAAGTATCATGCTACATTCTGGCCCAAAAAAATATATTAATTTGAATAAAGAATTATGAAAGACAAAAAATAAGATTCTACACAACTACAGTTCCAGAAGTGGCTATCTCAAACTATGAAGCTAATTCCCCAATGGGGGCACAACAATGATGATAGGAAGCAATTGCATTGCTTGATGACAGCTCCAGCCAGGTCTGTACATGTGACATTTTAGTTTGAGAAGTGTTAAAACCATGCCACTTCCACCATTCATGAAGAAACATATGTAACCATCCCCTGCAAAAGTATGCCAAAAATAAAACCATAAATTTCAAATTCAAATATCAATGATTAACATAATACCTTTCAAAATTAAGAAAGATAGTGGATAGTGTTTTGACTCAGCAGCTTAAAAACATTGAGAAAAAAAAATTGCATAAAAATAATTTTATGAGGTTCTCTTCCTCCTTATCTATTCCAAATTTCAATGCCCAAGAGAACAATGCCAACAAGTTTTTAGTTTACAAGTTACTTTAAACATAAAAAATTTGACAAATTATCAAGCAACCTTAACTTTAATTAAAGCTCTCCTTTTTAACATTAAACTGACTTTTAAGGTCTAAAAAGCCACACCAAACACTAAACAAAGACATGTTTAGATAAACTTCAAAAGTGCTTATAGGAGAAAAAATTAAAGTAAGTTTCATTATAAACTAAATTAATTTATGCATTATTTAAAAATCAATGAGAGTGACAGGGTTTGAACCTAGGACCATGTGTATATATACTACCACAACCCCCACTATTAGGCAGTTAAAAATAAGTTTTTGGTAAAATTAATATGAGAGAACTTCAACAAATTAACTAATGCATAAACTAATTTTAACTTATAAAAAAAACTTAATTTTCTTTCCTATCTTTCTCTCTTAAAATGACTTTTGAAAAAGTTTATCCAAGCATATCTCAAGTCTTTATTTATGCTAGGCTATACAAGGACATGTTAGTAAGGGCAATAGTTTGATAATACCACTTTCAACTTGAACCTATGGACTCTCATCATCTGAACTTAAGTCACCAATCCTCCTTTCAGCAATCGCCGGAAAAAGCCGTTGACGAAAATCAGGTGGTGGACGCGTTTCTGAGGAAGATGCCCCTCGAGGGGTCTCTTGTTTTTGAGTTTTTGCTGCTTTCTTCTGTGTATCTCTCACCTCCTTGCATACCTTATCCACCATCACTAAGAAGTCTCGCACTACCACGAACAACCGTATGCCTTCATCCTTCCCAGTATTCCCATAATAGTAATCACCAGTGCTCTTCACCAATGCCGTGATCTTCTTCTCCTCTTCCAGTAGTTTCATAACATCAGCCTCAGCATCCTGCACAAAACTTTTCACTGTCTCACAAAACCCCCTATCTTCCTCCACATTCTTCATGGTTTTGTTTACCAAATCTCGTATCTTAACGAGACCATGGCCAAGTTTAGCAGTGGTTCCTGTTAAGCTGTCAGCATCTATAACTGCTGCTTTTTTTACATTCTCAAGTTCACTGCTCAGGCGTGAAACCACTTGAAGACCGATTTCATGGAAGCGATCTTCTGTTTCTTGAGTACTATCGTGAAGATCATCTGATTTTGCCTTTCGGACGGCTTTTGCGCCCTCAGAGCGGATAATCTCTAGAACAACAAAGTGTAAGAGTGTAGTCTTGCCATCTGTTCCTTTTACATCAGATAGTTTGAGAAGTGTATCAAGTTTAAATGCTTGTGCACCACCACGGAATGTTCCATCGTTCATTCGGTTGCCAGTTTTGAGAACAGCTTCAAGAAGCTTGAGAAACAGCCGGCTGCTTCTTAGCTCCTTACAAGCAACCTGACATATGAGATGAGGTTACAGGAAGAATAAGATTACTTTCAATGGTGACAGGGTGCTAAAAAGGAAACAAATATGACAGAATCAAAGGAATTACAATGAGAGGATATCAATTAGAGAACATTGATGTATTTGTTTGTGTATAAATGGTTTCAAATTAATTGACATAGCATAAAATTAAACTGACTAACCAACAGATCATTAAACTCATAAAATTTCATATTAATTGTAAATTTATTTGGATCACATGTATTTCTTAACATGAATGTGTGCAAAATAAAACAGAGTAACCAGTAACAATGTGGTGATTTGACTAAGGGAAAAACATATTCTATAAGTTATTAAATGATACAAGAAGTTTTACATGTGTGTGAAATGATCATTGGCTACACCCTGTTTATACGTGTTTTTAATTTGAATTTGGAAGAGTATTGTGGGGGGAGGGGGGTACCAACATCAAAATACAATGAAATTTGGCAGTAACTCAGTAAGGAAAACTTTTCACATTAATTACCGCATCAATTTGGCATGACTAATACATCAAATGACACAATCTACCCAGTTTTTGACAGTTTGCTATGTCACCTTTGATATCCTTAAATTGGGAGTAGCTATATTAGGATTATATAGTACACACTCAGGTCATTCTAGAATCTCAGTTGGAATTAGTTCAACAAAAAATTTTAGGGTCACAATCATCATATGGTAGAAAGAGCATAAGCAACTGTATGTATGATCCATACCTCTAAAATGGCAAAAGACTCCATAGTAGTTGCAAGCTCCTCTTTAAATGTGCCCATGAAAAGCAGAGCTTCCATTCGCTTAAATGCAAATGGAATGTCAACCATGGCCTTCAGGAACTGGTCAGCAGGACCAAGTTGAGATAGATCACCACTAAAAAGTCTAAGCTTAAGTTCTTCATCTGATGTCGGTGCCATCTTCAGCAAGGTTTGAAGGAATTCTGAGGGCAGTTCATGTCCTGATCAGCCAAAGAATGGTTACAACTACAAGTCTTTCATACAACTGGAACAAGACATCTAAAAACTTTTGCTCTTAATTTTCTATATATTATTATAGTATATTACTGAAAAATAAATTTCATCATGATTTATCACTTAAGCAAGGATCAAAGGAATCAATCCACTTGCCGCGTAGCCAGGGCTACCACAATCTATCCTCTCCCTGGTTCTACATTATGATAATCAAATAGTTTTAGAACATTCCAACCTATTAACAAAACTACAACAATCTATCCTCCTTATGATACTGCAAGTGTACAATGTATTAGAGCAACTAGGGTGCAAAATTGTGTCCTAGATTTTTTTCCTAGAAGAACCTACTAATATTACTATCAATTTATCAGCAATTTAGAGGAAAATTGAAGAAACAAGAAAGCACCTTCATAAAGTGCATCACAAACTTCTTCCCTTGTCATGTTCAATGCTCGCAACAGAATCAATAAATTTTGTGCTTTCTTTTTATCAATAACCTGGATAAACTGAGGTGAAGGGTCTTGGGAGGAAGATTCTTTCTGTCTTTGACCATTGTTCTTATCCACAGCATTATAGCCAAAAAGTGTCTCTATCATCTCTTCATTAAACCTGTTAAATGTTTGTCACTTGAGAATACTAATCATAAATTATCTTTGATAAACAAAAGAGGTTTAATATTTATTCCTTACTGGAATGATCCTGATTTGATTTGATTCCAAACCATTGATTGATCTGGGTTTGCTTGAACCTTATCCCAGAAGAAGGGCTTTAGCTTGGCTTTGGGTGCATCAGCTTCACCTACACCAGCTTCAACTGCAGCTACTGATCCACTAGCTAAAGGCCGAGCCATCTTGGAGCCAAAAGGTGGAGGAGCTCGAGGAGGAGGTATGCCACCCATAGGAGGTGGTGGTGGACGAGGACCAGGTTTGGCACCAGCTGGTGCTGGGAGTGGTGGTGGAGGAGGACCGTGTTTGGCACCAGCTGGTGCTGGAGGTGGTGGAGGAGGACCAGGTCTGGTAGAAGCTGGTGCTGGTGGCGGTGGTGGAGGAGGACCAGGTCTGGTAGAAGCTGGTGCTGGTGGCGGTGGTGGAGGAGGACCAGGTCTGGTAGAAGCTGGTGCTGGTGGCGGGGGGGGAGGAGGACCAGGTCTGGTAGAAGCTGGTGCTGGCGGCGGTGGAGGGGGGCCAGGTTTGGCAGCAGCTGGTGCTCGAGGTGGTGGTGGAGTGCTACTAATAGCAGGCCGCTGAGGGGAAGGAGGAGGATGAGGAGCTGCAGCAGCAGCAACAACGGCAGTAGTAGCAGCCGGAGCAGTATTACCAGTAGGCCTAAATGAAGGCGGCTCAGGTGGAAGGGGGCTTAACCTGCCTGGAGGAGGTTTTAAAGGAGGCATTCCAGAAGGGATGGTCCCCACCCTCCCAGGAGGAGGTTTCAGTTCAAATGGTAATCCGATAGCAGCATTAAGAGCTCCTATTGATTGACTTTCCTGCACTGAGTACTTCTTATTGTCTACCAAACTATTACTTGATGACTGAAACCCAGGTTTCTCCCCTTTTATTGAATTTCCGAAAGAATAACTGGAAGGACCTGTATAAAAGTAAACTTTGTCAAGACCAGTAAAACATTTTAACAAGGTAAGAATGAATTGTAACATGATACATACCAACGGAATAGTCACTCATGCTCAAGCTGAGGAGGGGCCTATCATCATTTAGTCTAACATGGCCAGTCTTACGATACCGACTACAGCATAAAAAGAGCAGTGCTGCAGCTATAAATGTCACCAATGCAGTTATAACCACAGCAAGAACAACTTTTTTTTTATTACTATGTCCATCTTCCTGATTGCTAACGTCAGAAAGTGGAGGAGCCGAAATATCTGAAGTTGATGATGGTGGTGTCAATTTTGGGAAAAAAGATGATGGTGGGAAAGAAGGTTGCAGAGGTCTGGGAACTAGAGGCGTTGGAGCAAGAGGTGATGGGGCCAGACTGGGTTCAGATGATGGTGCTAAACTGGGTTCAGGAGATGGTGTTAAACTGGGTGTAGGTGATCCAACCGCAGGGCCTGAACTAGGTGGTTCTGATATGTGCTGGAGCAAAACACGAGCAAAATTTGTTTCTGGAACACTGGATCTGGAAAAAAGTGGACCCATATAAGAGACATGCCAAATCTTGAAATCATCCTCTTTCCCCGAGACAGGTAATGGAAGATTATTTTTTCTTAAACAGTAAAGAAAGTTCTCCTTGAATTGAGGACAGTAAGCATTGATAAATTTTTGGATGTCTTCTCCTGCTAGTAGTCGAATCTCTGAACTGATTTTATTGCTGAGGCCAGACAGTTCATGTGAGAGGCACAGATGATCCTCAAAATCTTTCGTTAAATGAAATAAACCTTCCCCACAATATTTCCATAAGACCTTAGCCTGCGGTCATGAAACTTAACAACTTTTAGTGTCTATCAAACCATTCTTAGCAACAATGAAGCACATAATGTAAACCTTTCTATGTTATCAAATCTAACAAATAATCATAAACAATCAAGATCCTGTAATTTAGTGTTAGATGACAATTAGCAACAATTATAAAAGAAAATTTAGAATTTTAACCTAATAATTTAGAGTGCATGCTCAAGCTATCAGGTGAAAGATAACAGAATTTCATAGAAAGCCGGTTGAGGTAGAAGCATAGATGCATTCATAAATTATACAATAGTTCGTGATGAAGTTTGTCCATTTTTCACATAAACACGGTGCACAAAAAACAATATTTACTAGATGATCATCTCATAGAATTAGAATGTATATACTAAGGCAATCATATATCATATATATAACATACTAAAACAAACTTTACAAATGTAAGACCTCGTCCTTAAGATGGATGGAAGATTAGAATCTGTGGACACAAGAAAATGTAAAACAAGAAGATGAACAGTTCACTCATTCATTGTTCAATATCAGATCCCAATAACATGCCTGAAACTAGCGGTAACATGACAGCTATAGTCCTCCCTCTTTCCTTAACGACTTTTCAACATGTAAAGACCATAGACCAATTTGGATAAACTTCTCTATAAGTAATTTTAGGAGAAGAAAATAATAAAATGAGTTTCTCCATCAACTAAATTTAACTTATGCACAAGTTAAAAATAAGATTTTGGATAAGCTAATATGAGAACTTATAAATTAGCTTATGGATAAGCTAATTTCAAATTATGGAGAAGCTTTTCTTATAAGTGCTTAGGAGTTAGGAGAAGTTTATCCAAACAGATTCTATGCTGAAGATAATCATAAAAGCAGGATCATCCTCTTCTAGTTATCATACTGCCCAAAACTCTGTCTAAAAGTGCTAACTAATATAACTTTGTCAAATGGGCTGTAAAGGTGGGAAATACTTGTATCTAAAGTAAATAAGATGTCTCTATGTGATCAAAATCATTGACAGACAGGTTTGACCTTGATAGTCCATGCAAAATCTTGCCTGCTACTGAAACAACTTCTACTGTCCCTAGCCCCATATATCAATCAAAAGAACTTTTTTTTTCCCACTTCACTAGGGAATCACGGATTTAGGCAACCATGTTAGCTACCTCTATGTGAAGCTGAAAGCATCATCAGATTAACCAGAGACTTCCATTGACCATTTACTTAGGAGTTAAGAATTACGAAGCAAAAGAGCTACAGCGGCACCCACCAAATGAGGGAAATGACAGGCTAGGACAATCAAGATAAGAAAGAAACAGTAAAACACAGCATTCACACCAACCTTTAAAGAAGAAGCAAATACCAAAATTTCGGAGCTCATATACTATGCTCACCTTTTAGAATTTTCGCTATTTGAACAAAAAGTAAGCCAACTATATAAAAGAAACCTACAAAATCCAAACACTTAGCAAAGGGAACCTTACCGTGTGCTCATCTAACAATTCAGATGCTGGATCAAGTAACTCGCTAACAAAATCATCTTCTGTTTCCCTCTTTTCTATAGAGCTGACTGCTGCTACAAGAAGAAGAACCAAAAGAACACCAAAGCTGATCTTTGTGTTAACCATATGTTTATGAACTCCCATTCCAAGTGCTTGATATGTTTCTCATTTCATCAAAGTACTAAACCCCCTTCAATCCCTTCATCACCTACAAACACCCCCAAGAAAAATAACCTTCCTTTTTCACAATCCACCTCCAACCCACTTCAATTCCTTCTCAGAAAACCCCAACCAGTACCTTCCAGAGGCGAATTCCCAAGACCAACCAAGGGTTCGTACCAAAAATCAGAACTTCAAGATCAAACACAAAGAAGTAAGAACAAAAGCAAACCCCAGAAAAAACCCTGCCCCTCTCCAAAGCTTCCAACTTTTACCGAATCAGATCAAACCCCACCACAAGAATCAATTAGAAAACAACTCCAGACAAAAACAAAAGGCTTAGGCAGGTGTTGAAGCGTCAAAATCACAAACTGACCCTGCAAGTGCAAACACGAGCTAGAGCTCCAAACAAAGATTCAAGAAAAGGGTCTTTGCTTCTTACAGGATCCAAGGCAGGGAGCCCAAAAAGGACGTCTTTTTGGAGTTGCTGAGCATGAAAATGTTGATTGTGACCATTATTTTGTGTTCAGAAAGTGTGTCATAAATGGTAAAAAAGAGACCAAAATCAAAGACTAAAGTAAAAAGAAAGAATGAGAGGGTTGATGTTAAGGAAAAGGAAGTTTCTTGGCGCCAGACAGAAGAACCCTACGCGTAAAGAAGGGTCTTAGGAGAAAATATTCTGGATGGTGGATTCAGTCATCGCCAAGCTGCCAGTTTCAAATGTCTTGCATTAAGTTTTCTCATTCTAGCATTCATTAAAAGGAAATCCGTATCAGTTTAGAAGACTGTATATATTAAATTATTAAATTTGAGAGTTCAAATTTGAAAAATAAGAGCAAGAAAGATTTTATGCTACCAACTATTTAACGTATTTGTTTTATAGATTTTTTTCTCTTAAACTCACTTTTCATTCATATAATTTTGCATTCTCTACATTTCTTTCTCCTCGTTATAATTCTCATTATAATTAATATTTAATATTATTCATATACTCAAAATTATAAAAATAAATAAAAAAAATAGAGAAAAAAAATGGACAAGATCTAAATTCAATTTTACAAATATTTAATTTTAGACTCTAAAAATTTTACTAAAAATTTAATTTTTCTAAATTTTAAAATTAAGTAATATTGATCTATCATTATTCATTAGCATGTTGTGGAGAAAAGATAGATACTAGAAGGGAGTTGAATAGTATATATAAAAAATTCGCATATTTTCAAGTATGTGAAGTAAAATCTATAGCAAATGAAGGGTCAGTAAGAGTAATCAATAAACACAGTGTTTTTATACTAATCCACCTCAATCACCGAGGCCACATATAATTCTCAATCCAACCAGATTGAGTTCTATTAACTTTTAGCAAAGTTACCAGTATTCTTTTACCAAGTCATTTCTAGCTTAAACAAGTGTTCTTTGATTAGGCTCTCCAAGCCACTATCCAAGTATTCTTTTACAGACAAATCTCTCCAAGCTCAAATTCAAGTATTCTTTTTCAATCAAATCTCTCCAAGCTCAAACTCAAGTATTATTTTACAAACAAGTCTCTCTGAATTCTACCTTATAATAATGGTTATAAAGGTAATACAAGGTTGCAGTTATCGTCACTTTTAGATGTGATTATAACAAATTGTTTTAGTACAAGAAAGCTTTTGAAGAAGATTTTCTAAGGAATGAGTATAAATCGCTCTTCTATATTTACACTTTTATTCATTGTGTATGTGCTTCTTCTTCATTGTTGAGTTTCAGAGCTTCTTATATAATAGTTTTAAAAGAGATGATTGTTGCAGCTTCTTGAGTCTGATTCATATAATTACTTCGTCTTACTCCTTTATTTGATCTTTAGAGAGAGAAAATATTTGTTGGTACATTAAATGATTCAATTAATGTCTTTTACCTAAATGTATTCCTTACCTTTGATAGATCAAGTTACTTATTAGAGTAGAGTAGCAAAGCGGGAACAGTAGGAAGCAAAGTTAGCGTGCAGGCGAGAATGTAGTCTTTTTTCAGTGTCTTTTCTATGAAATTTAGGATCTTTGTCCTTTGTTCTGCTATTCTTCATGCTTGTATACATTTCTAACAAAATGTGAGTTCCAAGACAACAACTTTCAATCTGTTAAGATATAAAACATTCATTTGAACATTTAAATTTGTCAATCATAATAAATAATGATCATTATAGATAGTTTGTATGCTTTGTCTAATTAGCTTCGTCTTACAGATGCTACTTCATCTTACTCAATCTAAAACAATGACTTTTACACCGTATTTTCTTACTAAAAAATATAGTGTTTATTATCATTAAAACTTATAAAACATGAAGGGTCTAAAATCGTCTTATGACTTAACACATATCATTTAAAATTAAACAGAAAATAATGACAAACTATAAGGAAAATTAATCTACACACATTAGAATTATTCACATATCATAGAATTTTAAATAAAACATATACTAAGTTTTTTTTATATTTTTTTAACTCTATATATAGAGCTAAATGTAATTGAAAAGCTTCTCAATATCCAAGATAAGACAAAGAATGGTCTTAATTATTGTCTAGATTTGCAAGCCATGGATATATGACAATAATTATATCTACAACCTAAGGAAAAGCAAACAAATTTTCTCTCAACATTTCATACTTTGTCTAAAAAGGAAAAACAAGTTTTTGTAAGTGTTTTATGTGGAATCAAAGTGTCACACAGTTACTCTTCCTATAATGATTTGAAATTAGTTAGCTTGAAGTCTCACAACTGTTACATCTTGATGCAACAGTTTCTTCATGTGACTATATGTGACATTTTACCGAAAAATATGAGACACGTCAAAACTTTACTTGTTCTTCAATGTTATATGTAGCAAAGTAATCAACCTTTAGAAGTTAGATGAGTTGAAAAATGTTGTTATATTGTGCCAACTAAATGTATTTTCATCCTTTATTTTTTTGATAAAATGGTTCACTTAATCACCAATTTGGTTAGGGAGGTCAAGTTATGTGGTCCCATCTTTTTTAGATGAATATACCTAGTTGAACGATGCATGAAGATATTAAAAAAGGTTTGTTAAGAACCAACATTGTTCAGAAGCATCCATTATAGATAAGTATATTATAGAAGAAGCAATCGAGTTTTGTACCAAATACATGTCTCAAGCCGAATTTGTGTGCTTTCTTAAGAAATGACATGAGGGACAAAGTGTTAGGAAGGAAACAATGAGCGTAAAAATGAAGAAAATTTTGCATAAAAAGTGTTTCAAATGCATTTATATATATTGAACAACACTGACAAGATTCTTCCTTATTTAATTACCTAAAAAGAGTTAATGAAGAAAATTAACCCTCAAATGCCTAAAATATAGGTGTTGAATGAACATAACAAGACTTCCATGGTGTGGTTCAAAAAGACTTGTGAAAGAGGATACTACTTTTGAAATTTTATATCACATAACTTAGGGACCTAGCTTTGATGCATTTACTTTCTATAAATACAACATCAACTATTATTCATTTTATACAAATACACAAGATGACAAGAGTACCATGCAAAATAGTGGAGCTATGGTAGTTGCCTGCCTATGCATTTGTGAACCAAAAAAGATAAGAACCATGTCACGACGACCCTATGTTATGTTAAAGTCATTAAAAACGTATGAGGTGGATTACAATCATTTAAAGTTCCTATATTTATATACAAGTAGGTTGATAGTAATAGTGGTGTCAAAACTGATGAACTTGGATTTACCTTAATGGACCTTAACAAGGTAGGTCACAAGGAAGAACCTTTCGTCATGGCAATCCAAGTAAACAAAGTATTTTATGCCACTAATCCATCTAACAAGAGTTTGTTAGTTGTTATCAAAGGTAGGAGTAACAATGGAGGTCATGAAGTTGGAGGTTCAACTCTTGATAGTTTAAATACTCCTTCCTTGTTAAAAAAAAATTATGTGTCAACCTTTACTATAGAATATGATGTGAATGATGTACATGTCACTCGTGATGATCATCATGAAAGGATATAGGAAAACATTTAGACTTAATCATCATTTCAAATAGGTTATCATGCTTCTTTAGTCTTAGTTTTAGTGTTTTAATTAATAAAGTCCTCATACTTTGTCATTTTTATATTATGTTTATAATTTTGGTTCATAATACATAGTGTTAATTTTTGTGTGTAAATAAACACATATGGCTAATTAGGACCTCTAACACCTATTTTTAGAATTCTAAATTTAATAATAAAATAATATATTCTTATAGATTATTAATGCAATTGTAAAATTAATAACATTTATCATAAAAACAAAAGAAAATTCCATGAACTAATGTACATTTAATTAGACTATGTACCTCACTTAGTACTTTAAAGTGTGTGTATATATATATATATATATATATAAGAAATACAAAGGCAAGAGAGAAGGAGGAGCTTCTCACTCTAGGCTCTCTTACACGAAGGTGTTTCTCACTTACAAGTTCTGCCTAACATCATGGGCAGAGATTGGTATAAATAGGAAAAATAAATTTACTATTACAACAGTGATTACTATTTCAACAGTAAAATGAAATTTTCCGCTACAGTGAATTACAGTGAACAGTACACTTTCGCAAAATGAGCAGTAATGACTGGAACTGTTGATGTCTTGTGGTACAGGGAAATCCTGAAATTGAATGTTAATATGACCACCTGGGTATAAGATTATCATGATTAGTACATAATTTTATTGATGATTGATAAAGATTAGTCCTCTTCGGATGCTTGGTCAAGATTAATTCCGAAGCAATCGTCTTCATTCTAGAAGTATGATCCGGATGAAGAAGATGGGGAAGAGACTTTTTTCTTTGCTTTTCCTTTTGACGAACTTGATTTTGAGTCCGTCTGGAGTAGATCAAGGATCTGATGAAGATTTGCAGTTAAAACTTCATCATTTGTTGACGCTGCAAGGGCAGCTGCGATTTTAGCCTTTCGATTAAGAAACTGGCAGGTTTCTGGATCAGCGGCCTTACGATTCTTTTGATTCTTTTGGAACCAAAGTGCCACTCCCTGAGTGTTTGCCCGGGAAGCATCAAACTGGTCCCACCATTTGACCGAGGCTTGCTTGCCTAAGATTGGGAGGAGCTTGGAGGTTTTCTTGAACTGGTGTTGCCAGGAAAAAATCCAAGCTAATGAAAATTTGGATAAGAAATGAAGAGATGGGTGGAACGGGTTGGTTCCTTCTTCAAATCTTGCTTTGAATTGATTGTATCCTTCCTTAATGTCTGGGGGAAGGATATTTTGAATCGGTCCGAAGAATTCCCACCATTCTGCAAACCATTGCGGAAAGAAATATCGAACCTTCTGTTTGAAATAAATAAGCCAGGAATGCCTATGATGTTTGTTTTGAAACCAGAAAACATTTGTCCAGGCATTGATGTAATCCCAGTAATTATACCCAACTGGGTCAAAAGGCTGAGAAAATTTTCTGACTTGATTAGGTTTGTTTTCAAAATCTTTAAAAGTAAAGATTTTAAGAATTTGAATTGTTGAATGTGTGATAAGTTGGTTATCATTTTTGTCAAAATTATGTTTAATAGAAACAGATTTTGAATCCACCAAAATAAATTTGTAAAATTTCCTTGTCTTGTTAAGACTAAGAGGTTTGAAAAGAAAAGTTGGTGGAAAGATTTTTTCACAAATCTTGTTTGGGTTTGGATCCTAGAAGTCCCTGAAGTGGATCAAGGAAGAAAGGGAAGAAGGAATGTGCAGGTGCAGC